TGTGTGTGTGTGTGTGTGTGTGTGTGTGTGTGTGTGTGTGTGTGTGTGTGTAAAGCCTCCTGTTCCTGCTTCCAACAGAGATGATAAAACTGAGTCAACATCCCAGCTGTTCATCTGTCTGCAAACATCATAAAACATCCATAAAGCTAAAACTTCCTTGTGCTTTTATTGAAGCCAAAGTCAGGAAGACGCCTGTGCTTACGTAAGAGTGTTTCTGAATTTTAAGCAAAATATAACAATCTAGACAAAGCAGAACTATCACACAAAAATATGACTACAAGTTATCAAGTTATTCTCACACAAAAAATACATATGCACCTCCTCAGAGGAAGTGCCAAGTTTTCATTTGATTTGAGGATGTTTCATGTCAGTTAATCCCCCAGCAACTATAATTGGATTAAAAACAGATTAAACCCAGTTTCAAAAACAACCCACCTGGAATGCTCCAACATGGGTGCAGTCAACCATTTATACAAACTGACTGACAAKATTTATAATCAGCCTAATTATAAAAACCTCAAAAGGAATTCTGACGCAGGACACATTGAGGGTTTAAACAGGAGGTCTATTAAATGCAGGACAAACTAAAAAGAAAAGCTGGCGCCAGTCTAAGGAACTTTCTCTGGCTTCAACATAGGAAGCAATATGCTGCGTGAATGACTTCTGGGATTTCCTGCACTCACTGGAGTTATGGTTGAATTAGGAAAATCAGGCTGGTGGGAAACACAAAAAAATAGCTAGTTCAAGTTTCCTTTACTGATATGACTACTTCAGTATGAAAGAAGTAAGTGATGTGCAGGTGGGACTGATAAGAAACAAAAGGCAACACTGGCAGGAAGCAAAAACAAATACAATGCACATTAGAAAGCACCAAAACCACCTAGAGAGAGTCCTTCCTTAAAACACTCCAGTGGAGGACCTTTTCATTCTTAAATGAGCCGCAGACATTCAGCATGGATTAGCCTGTGGGAGCTATGAGGGCTGCTGTGTCTTTCAAATGAGCTCTGCTACATTTGGCTTCAAATTATTTATTTAATGGACAAAACGCAGAAAAACTAAAGCTATTCATTTCTACAACCTTTATTTTTTTCCTATAGTCATGTCTTCTGAAAACGAAAGTCATGAAATCTTGTTTGAGAAACTTCAGAAAATTGCTTTTTAGAATAAATGAGTACTACATTATACACAGAGAATACAAGCATCACTGACCTTCCTTTTCTTCGTTCCCAGGTCAGGGGAGATTTGAGACCTCATTTACATTGAAAAGCCTCCTGGAAACGTTTAATTTTTCAGATGTTGATTGTGAAAATGTAACACGTGCACACAGCAATGCTGCGATTGTAATCGCTATTTAGACAAGACCACAAAACAGTGCAATTTCCATGATAGGTCACTAGCTGGCTCTCTGGTTTGTGTGTTTCAATGACACGTGCACACATAAAGATACTTCGATCTTGAGAATAAAACCATTATAAGCCTGTTCAGAATTTGTAGAATGTAAAATGCATCTCCACTGTTCCAAGAGGTGGCGTAGGACAGATGTTTCAAGAAGTCAGAAGCTCTGATAAATTTAAGAGTTAGAAGCACAAACAGCACTCTTCTATCTGCCATTGTTACTGCTGATCTACTTGTGCAGGTGCAGATAAACAACTGACACCAGCTGTCTGTAGTGTCCATACACCAGGCATTMAGCTAGAGGGGCATCAGAGCGTTTTAACAACACCCTGCTCTGTTTCATGACGCCCTCTATCAGCTGGTGACGCCTCAGGACACCCTGCCAATCTTCTGTCCACCGAGACTTTTGMTTTTTACTCTACGTAAATTTCGCAAAGTTCCATAAACAATGTAAGTGGTACAGGGGTTGACCACAATTATTTTGTGAAGACAATGGAAGACGCAAAGAACAAATTGAATCAACCTGGATACAGATGGTGAGTAGAGGCTTTACAGCTTCAGTAGCTGCTGTTGTGTGATGCTTTCAATCTCTGGTCATGGTCCGTCTGACCCCCACCCCCCCCACCCCCCTCAATTAACTTTGATCTTAAAGTGTCAACGCACTCCTCCAAAATCCTACCTAAGAGTCTGACCTACACAATTTTGCACCGATGCAGGGCGTTTCGAAGAACTCTCACTCTGAGATCTGGATTCAAGCAGTTTCCGTTTCAGAGAAAGCGGTCATTTTTGTAGTGTACACAAACAGCCGAAGCTCAGCAGAAATATTATGGTTTCAGTGAAAAACAGGACTGTATGAACTGGGCCTCAGTACTGATTTATTACTTCTACACTCAAAAGTTTATAAAATTCACTAAGAACATAAATTACATGGTTCTCAGATTGTTAAATTAGTTTTTCTGACGTTTGTTCCAGAACACTTTAATGAAAACATGATAAGGACTTCAGATTTTCTGTCTTCGTATTTTCAATTTCAAACTGACTTAATTAAAAAAATACAGGTAAACTCCAAAACTATTTTCAGGATCAAAACAAAATATTTTTGTTTCGCCAACAACACATTGTAAAGAAAAAACATACTTAATTGTATTTTTTTCTATATTTCACAGGAAGAATCTAGTTTTTTTTTTAATACACTGTATTGATCCCCTGGTGGGGAAATTAAGTCTCTGCATTTTACCCATCGCACATGTGAACACATATTGAGCAGTGGGCTGCCAATTACAGCACCCGGGGAGCGGCTGGGGGGTTGAGGGCCTTGCTCAGGGGCCCAAGGTGGAACTGGTTGGTCCGGGGCGTCGAGCCAACGACCTTCCGATCACAGACTCGGCTTCTCTACCCTCTGCGCCACCATTCCACCAATTTTAACTTCAGATTAACCATTTCTTATTGTTTTTCCACTAAAATAAAGGGAGAAAAGAATAAATGTCACCGTGCCACAGTGTGAACTTTTCGTGGCTAAAGGTCTAAAAAAAAAAAAAAGAGTCCTAAAAACAAAATGCTGTGTTCACACAAATATACGACGAGTCAGCAGAGCTGTCTCCGTTTGTCTGAAGTGAGTAGTTTTCAAGACTTTGACAGCTTCACATTTTAAATATCCTCTGCTGAAAAGTCAGGGGCTCTTCTGCTCAAACAAAAAATATTGTTAAAATATCCACCAAGACAAAAAAAGGAGCTTCATTTTTGAATGGCTGTTCACATGAATTCAATTGAAATTCAATGAACTGAATTTGTTTGACTGACAAACAAAGAATGAAGTATACATAAAACTGAAACATTTCCATACAAGTATTTTGTCTGTCCACCCAAGACAAAAGCAACACAACCAAATGCCTCTGTTGCGATTGTTTGCCGACAGCTGGAGCCATCCGTCACACAGCAGGGAAGCAGGGGAAGAAAGTGAAGCGTTCCCAGGCTAAGTGTCAGTGGGGGAGCAGGAGGAAAAGCACAGAGGAACATAGTACCTGGCCATTTGGTAATCAAGAACTGAGTGCAAACGCATCAGACTTCCCCCAGCCAAGTGAAAATATAGGGCTCACTTTAGACGACAAACGCTCTTCCTCAAAAAACTTATCAATGAAGATAAAAAAATGTTTAATGGTGCTTCCTTTTTAATTCTTTAAAAAAAGATAATTTATAGTCGTCTCTTAGTGACAACAAATCTCTTTTCATTACAAAGGAGGAGAGAAGCAGGGACTAGGTAGTGGAGCTGCCCTCAGGCTACACATGGGAGTCATTTACTCCTCCCTGTCCCAGCACTGACTTAAACACAGACACATAAAGTTTATTTTAGAGCTCAGAGCCCAAGAGAGACCCTCTTGCTCAATTACTTCAATTATAAGACTCAACTTTATCATATTCTTTTGCTGTCTTCCACTTCCGAGTGTGGCACATAAACATCCAAACCCATCCACCCACATATCCAAGGAGCTATTACCCCGCTGGATGGTTTCCAAGAAACACATTTTTAAGGATTTGATTTCACTGCCCTTTTCCCCCCTTTTCTGAGGTGGACTGGTGTAACAGCCAGGCAGGGCTAAACTCTTTACAGTAGGTCTCATGGATGCAAAACACACCCTTAGACAATAAATTCTGTCAGTAATAGTTGGTTTGACTCATTTTAATAAGAGCAGGAATGCAAGTTTGTTAATTTAGTCAAAGAAATAAAGCAAAGGAGTAACTGATAAGCAACAGAAACTGATAGCAGAATTGTGGCACGAAGGACACAGAAAAATGCATTCAAGCTACACCAGACTTGACCAAAGGGGAGTGGCGATAGAACACAGACGCTACAAGGAACAGATTTCACAAATGTTAGGATGGTATCCTGTACCAAAAAACACAACTGAGCTTATCAACAAACTGCTTCTCAAGAAAAGAGACAAGATAAGTCAGACTTAAGTTTTCAAGTTCAAACAACTGCAAGATAATGGGTGTTATTAAAAACAGAACCAGAAGACCAAATGTCTGCAAGCAAAGTTCGAGATAACTTTAAAGCCCGCTTACCTTCATCCGTGTTAGCAGGTCGGCACTGGGTCCTTAAAACTTGGACAAAGAAAGTCAGAAACAGAAGTATGTTCGGCCTCATCAGCATCCTGCTGAGGGAGCTACAACTGTTGGCTTTTACACGACTGGAACTCCATTCAGATCCCTGGGACATCAGCTGCACGCCATTCACAGAACACCGCTAAAAACAAAAACAAACAAAATGATTATTGATCACATCACAAAGAAGTCCAAACCAAGGACACAAGTTAGAGATAAACCGATTCGTCCGGCGTCAACCAATTAACTGGTTCTATTTGATACTAAGTAAATTATCAACAGTACTGGAAGAGCAACATATATTTTCTTATCAAGTAATTTCCGCTCCAATAAAGAAAGAAAATATTCTGCATGTTTATGAAAGTCAAGGCAGGTGCTTCAGCATTTATGCCTGCTAGTACAAAAACACTGATAAGAAACTGCAGAAGACCAGACTTACTGATAGTTTGGATTAAAAAAAAAAGATACACTCTGCTTATTTATAAGTATGACCTGTTCAAAATGTTGAAACTACAAAGATCTAGACTTGGAGGTCATTATACGCTGGTGTTTGCTTTCCCCCTTCTACTGAAGGATCCACAGTGTCCTCCAAAAACAACAACAAAAAAAAAAAAACTTTCACATTCACATCTGCTCGAACCATCACTTCAGGAGCATCTGGCTGCAGAGATTAACACTTGGCTATAAGTCACACCCACACCCCCCATCTCAGCCTTCAAGAATTTATTACAGACAAAAAATAAAAAACCTGGTGGCTGTTATATGACACAGCATAGAGAGCTGCCAGACTATAATTTCCATACCGAGAGATCTATCGCCTAACAGTTGTTTTTAGTTGCCAAACCCTTGATGACACCCCTCACACACACACACTCACAACATAAACACACCCATTTGTTCACTTGAGATTTTGCGTTTCCAAGATGCAGATTTTGAGTGAAACCGTGACATTCTGCTGAGGTTCAGCTGTTTGTGCACACAAAAACTGCACTTGTTTTCCCCGAGACAGAAGCTTTTTTTGAATCCAGGTCCCAGAGCGGAGGTCTTTGGGAAACTACAGAGGACTTAACGAGCACAGCAACATTCATAAAACATATTTTTATTTTTTATTAGCCACAATCAACACTGAAAAACCCTAACGTTTCAAGAGACCATTCTAGTGTAAACAATGCCTAAGAATACAATACAGTAAATGGGACACAAACAAAAACAAAACCCTGTAGTTTGTTCAAACAACAACAACAACAACAACATGGGTCATTTCTAGATTTAAGAAAACCCCAGCTTGATTTTCACAAGAGGTCCTGCTCAGATGCAGTTTTGATTCCTTTAAAGCCAATCTCTTTTATGAATGTTCTTTTCTGAAGCCGTTATTGTGTTCTCCTCAAAACCAATTCAATTTCACTTTCCAAGAATGGTCCAGTGTTCCAGCAGCTGAGCTGGGTCAAGGGGTGGTCCAAAGGGAATAAAGACGCTCGGTCATCTCTGCTCTGTAAGCCATGAGTCAGTGTTTGGGAAAACTGCTTCTGCTGTCACACAACCACAGAGAGCAGCTGACCGCTCTGCCAGTGGCCCTCACAACCACATCAGCTTTCAGGATCTCAAAGACGCAGAAAGATTTTTGTTAAAAGTGTGACCGAACATTGAGTCATATCCTCGAAGAGCTTTAGTGTCACCTCCTGGAGCACACTCATCTAAAAACTATGACATATTTCTTAATTAGGATGTACAAATCAACAGGCTGTGACATAATATATTGTTTTATAAATTAGCATACCCCCTTCCCTTTTATTACACAACAAAACAACACTAAAGAAGATTAAAAGTGTGTTTGTGTAACAGCTGATGTCAAGTTAAAGATGTTACTTGAGCCTTGAATGTAGTTATGGCTCTGTGAAATCAGTTTTATTCCTTCACTTTTTTCACCTAAACACCATATTTTATTATGGAACCACATTGTTTTTCACCTAAAAAGTGTAATACATGATGGATAAATACAATTTCAACAAATAAAAACAATAAAAAAGCCTCAGTTTCATTAATATTACTGTAACAAAAAAATGTTTCAATTCAACCAAATGCTCAATGTTTTAATAAAAAGGTGCCTAAAAATCTGCCTGCAATTTATATTTAAAATACCGTGCCGTGTTTAAAAAAATCTGCTCACTTGTTTCATGGAGGAGAACAGACTGTACGTGTTAGCAAATCCTGTGAGAGTTAAAAATATGTTTTGTACATTAGAAGTAAGATAAAAATTATGTTAAATTTTTTTAACAGTTTTGGTCAAATACAGCTTAAAACAGCTGGAAGCTGATTTTATGACATTGGATTTACTGATTAAATGATGAGAATGCTGTGTTTTTATGTTGACAATGACTTATTTTTTCACCAGAAGTAAGTTTTGCTAAAGAGCATTCAGTTTAACTGAGAACAACTAAAACAGACATGTTTTTATATCTCTTGCTTCTGCTGGCGTGTTTTCATGTGGACGAGTTAACTGAAGTAATAAACTAGCAAGTTAAAAATAGTTGTTTGGTCATAACAGAATTTTGGTCAATTATATGTCAACAAAAACCTAATAAAAACTTGTTTCAGGAAACTGTATCACTAAACTTTGTGGTTGAGTGCTACATGTTGTAATTTGAGGGATGCCAGCAGCTAACTTTTGCCTTGGCTCCATAGAGTGTGTTTGAATTTCTAAAAAATTCAAAGCCATTCACATAAACACTGTTATTCAAACTTATAAATTACAGCCAATTTCACAATACACAATTATTTCAGCAGAAATACAAACATTCCTGGCCTAAGTGCCTGCAGGGCTGCACCAGAAGCTTTACAGCTCACTGCTGCCATTACATGCTCACGCACAACCAAAATGTGAGTAACCACGTCGAAAATCAACAGTAGTGCAAAGTTTTTCAAACACATGAATCACTACAAACCTTTGAGTTTCAACCAGCAGTTAGTGTGTCAGTGTTAAACTCAATTTATCCAAACCAAAGCCATTTAAAGAGCTTTCTACAACAGGTAAGATAATTATTGCTTATAACTTCTCCACAGATCCCCACTTCAAAATGGTTGGAATATCCCTTCAAACATCCATTCACTGGTTGAAACTGATATGTTACTCATTTAATGCTACCTTCTCTGTAGAAGTTTTAAACACAAAGCGGACTGATCATTAGCTCATAAAAAGTAAAAAGTCATAAATATTCTAGCAATGAAAAATTTGACATTTTAATGCTTTACGAAAAGAGGAACACAATTAAATGTCTGGTCAGAAACCCACTAGTTGTCCACGCTTGAAAGAAATGAAAGAGTTTTCCTGGAAATCAGCCAAACTTAAAAAAGGGGGCTCAACTAAACTGATTAGAACATGCACGACATATTTAGCTTCTCTCATTACACAAAGACAAAGGTTACAGTCCTAACCCATAACACGGCCTGCACCATAATTACTGTTCACTGGCATCCATGCATAAAATTCCTCAGCTCCCTGATTCTGTATCACCACCTCCCCACCCCTTTCCACTTTAGTCTGAGCTGGTAGCCAGACACAAACTGGTCTGCACATGGCTGCAGTTCAGTGGACACAGGAGCATCAGACAATCTCCCTCAGGCTACTGTTTTCACAAAACGCACACCTCACTTGTCTTCTTTTTTATTTTCCTCTCCTCACAGATACACAATCTGAGGCAGAGGTTCTCCAGCAGCGTGTCGTAACAGGATCCCAGGTGTCGTGTGACTCCACTAAAATGTACAGGCAATCAATTTTATGAGATGCTCTGCCACTTAAAGAGTGACTTTTTAAAACTGCTCAGTAGATGAGATGCTACACTTAAAAAAATATAAAATAAAAAAAATCAGCCAAGAGTTGCAACATTAGAGATTAACTATTTGCAAAATGTTGATCTGTTTAATGTTGAAGCCTCCATTAATCAAAGCACTGCAGCTCAAGTGTTGGGGGGAGCAGGTAAATTAAAGGGCATAACTGGTCTCCACTTCTCATTACACACTTCAGAAAAAAATACCTTGAACTCCCTGCAAACATCGCTGCTTCTTTTAACCACTCATTTTCTCCCTCTCCTTTTAAAAACACAACATTTAGAGGTTTACATAACACCAGGGCTGGCCCTTCATTAAACTCAGGCTTCATTAGATGGAGTAATGATCACAAGGACATGTCCACCAGGAGTTTAAAGAGACAACTTTACATCACATCTGGGTGGGGATGGAGCTTTACTGCAGATTCTCTGGCTGTTTGTCTGAGGCTGGGGAGGTTAATGATTATTTTAAGATTCACAAACATTTAAATGCAGTTCTGAAGACCACAAACACTCAATAAAACCCAAGAAATTATGGCATGAAGTGATTTCTAGTCACTCTCTTTAATGTGATGAGAATGCCTGTAAGAAAAAAAAACATTTATTTTTTTATAGGCGTCTGCACTAAAAAAGAAAGAAAAACAAAGAAGAAAAAACAGGACTGACAGCAAAATGTTACATTATCATTTAAAAAAAGTATGTAAAAAACTTTTCAGAACAAAAACAACGCAGTCGAAAGCTATAACAATAAAAACATTTATAGCTGCCATTTTAAGAGCAGCTTTTTCTTTTTTTTTTTATTTAGCAAATTAAGTCATTTTAGTTTATTTACATCTACTCCCCACTTTAATGACCAGCACTGTAAGGATAAAAACATGGAGACAAATGAAAGTAATAGAAGAGTTCACCTTGTTGGCGGGGAGCTGTGAAGCAGCCAGTGTTGGTCACAAGAGTCCTCGGCCCAGATTAGATGCAGAAAAACTTCCAAAATAATATTAATAAAAAAAACTTGCAACAAAATAAACCGTGTAGTCCAAATGGTAGCGTTAACGAGGCTCTCACGCGCCCAGCTATCGATGTTTAGCTAACAAGTTTGCGCATATTTCAACCAAAACTTGTGTGGAAAAAAAATAAAAAAAATGTCGCCCCACTCCGAGAGCCACGAATAACACGAACCAAGTGTTTCCTTTGTCAGTTCTTATTATTTCAGCCTTAGCGCCGACTTTCTTTTATCTCACCTAAGCTAAGCAGGTCTGAAGAAACGGAGCGAGTGAGGCTGGTTTTGGGTAATCCCTTTATCCCAACTCGCACGCGATGAAATCTGCGGTCCTCACTTTGAGAAATCCGGTTCCCTAAAGTTGTTCAACTAAAGCCAAACGAAATATCCTAGAACAAATACCGCACTGTGATAAACTTTCTGAGGGAGAAAGGCAAAACTTTAAACTAACTTTGGGGGAAAAAATTAGACTGTTCGTGGCAGAGAAACACTGAGCAAAGGCAAACCTCCCCCTCTTAAAATCTAAGGGAATGCACGTTCTTCTTCTTCACTCCTCAGCGCAGAGACAGTTTACACAACTTCCGGTCTCTTAATACAAAATAAAATACAGTGAGAAATGTCAATTTTATTTTATTTTATTTTATTTTATTTTATTTTATTTTTACCATCACGTGTATGTCCTTTTTCTGTACCATTAGCAAAATACAGTATCTCATGAATCAGCAGGTGTATTTTTTTCACAATACTTTCAGAAAATACTTTCAAAAATAGTAATTGGGTGTACATCTTTAACTGATTAACTATAACTAAAGGCTGTTTAACTTTAACAAGAGTCAATCTAATCCAAGACGGCAGCTGCAGCCATGACAAACAAAAATTCTGATAACTCAGACAACTTTACAGATAAGATTTGGTGTAGTGATAGCTGGGAGTCATCCCCAACACATATTCCAAGCACAACACATTGCTCAAGATCTTCACCTAAAATTTGTATTTGAACATTTGGCATCAATTCTGTTTGTCTCTCAGCAAAATGTCTTACTGAACACTGGGCACATTTGAGTGAAACTTTCAGAAAGTAATTTCTGGATGCACAGCTACAGCTGAACACGTTTTTAATTCAATTGACATAAAACATCAGTGTTATCCAACACTATAATTATAGTTTCACAGATAATGTTCTAAAATTTGGTGTGATGTTAGCTGGAGGCCCTTCACAACACACACTCCAATTGCTGCTCATTGCCTGAGGTTTTTGTTTTCAAAAAATAGCCATTAATTGTTATTCAACCATTTGTCTGTTAGTAAATTATCTCATGAAGCAAAAGACTGATTTTTATGAAATTTTCGGAAAATAATCATCTGATCTGCATCTACAAATAATTAACTTTTGGGGTGAGTTCAGTTTAAGAGCACTGCCACATCTAGTCAACTTAGCCAAGACAAAAGTGGCTACAAATCAGTAACTTTACAGATTTTGAGCTGAAATTTGACAGGGTATTGGCTGAGAGTCATTCAAAACACACAGGCCTAAATAATCGAGAAAGACTGCGAGTAATGTTATTTTTCATGTTTTGATTACAAAATTGGTCTGTGGATATAACCAAAACTGCTAAAACGCCATCAATTCTCAGGATAACTGCTACATTTTTTGATGAACTTTAATTCGCGTAGAGGCCTTTTAATTTGAAGGGCAAACTACCAAGCTTCCGTTTTTAGGGCTGCAACTCTTCAACTTGTCGCAGGTTTGTAGTGCTTTGAATGAACCTGGCTGCTGCTCACCATCCACAGCTCCTCTGTGGCAGAGCTCCTCCAAACTTTGAACGAAACACCTAAGTAGCTGATCAACAGACAGACAGCGGCTCTACATTTCTTTCAAACACTTTACATCCTGGTCTGTCATCTTTCTTTTAGATGATTCCCTGCTCTTCAGCGGGTTCCGTTCTGCAGAGGCCAGTTAATTACTCATTCCTTCAAATCAAGGTGTCAAGGCAGAGAAACATCACTTACTGAAACATCACATTTATTTCTCTGTCTTAGAGAAATAAAACAGGCAGTCCTGATCCCAAAACATAACTAACAAAATACATATGAGGCACAATTGACCTACAAAACATTGCAGAGTTTTACAAAAGCAATATAAGGGGAATTGTTTTCATATAGTTTTCTTAAATCCAACTTTAACAACTAAATGTTGGGCCTTGTGCCTATCATGTTGGATGGAGCGTCATTAGAGTCCATGACTCTCAATGTGTGTGTCATGTGTGTCTTTTCTTTCCAGGTTGTCATCGAATAAAACAATTAATTTCCCCGCAGAAAGTGAGCTCTTTCATCAACTTCCTGTTCAAGGCAACTATAAATAAAAAAGTTGAATTTATAATCAAAACGAGCTTTAATGTTGAGGCCTAAAGATTTGGCTTGATTTCAAAGAGCATCAAAATTCCAGCTCAGCACAAATGCAAAGTTCACTCTGGCGGATCAAACACTCGGGTCATATCTGGAGAGTTCATGTGGTCTTTGATTTCCTGTCAGCGTTGACAAATGACTGACAGCTGAAGCTGCAGAGACACATGACGCCTGGCTTTGTAGTTGGATTAAAGAATGGCGTAACAAACTGATTTGTGCCTCGACATGTGCTGGCTGTTCATCCTCTGTCTTTAGCTTGTGGTTGGAGGTTACACGAAGGGGACAGACCTGAACTAACTAACTATCTATCTATCTATCTATCTATCTATCTATCTATCTATCTATCTATCTATCTATCTATCTATCTATCTATCTATC